CCCCAAAACCCCAAAACCCCAAAACCCCAAAACCCCAAAACCCCAAAACCCCAAAACCCCGTTAAATAATATTAAAAATAAAATTAATGAAAGGACGCTCAAAGTGTGGAGTTAACCCCCAACAAGGCGAGTTCAAATTCAAAAATATTCACTTCTCGAGTAAATTTGATTCAGGAAATCTTTGCTCGGCTAGAGAAATAGATCCCTGGTAAGTATTCTCAGCTAAAAAAAGCCCTCTGGTCTGTTATGATAATGTATTCTAGGTCATATGAGCTCCAAATATCTCGGGATTCTAACAGTAAGATTTGAGTTTAACAGCCTTTACAGGTTCATACAAAGTGTTTTATCACTTCTCTGTGACTAATTTCACCCCAAATGAGACTTACACATTTATACTGAGAAATCTAATGCCTCAAGGAAAGTTGTACAATGCTGGCCTCAGACCAGTGTACAAACCATTTCCAAGTGAGCAGCAGTGGAAAACTATACCAGGTGAAATAATCTGGAGAACGGAAACAGACGGTTTCTTGGTCAGGTTTGACCACATATTCTCAGAAAAGGATAAAAGTGTTTCCTTTGCCTTTACATACCCATTCAGCTACGAAGAGATCACCCAAATGGTTGACCAAGTTCAAGAGAAATGCGAAGAAAATAAAGATATCTATTTCAAGAGGGAAACCTTAGTCCACTCCCTTGAAAAGAGAAAGATGGAGCTGATCACTATCACAGATACTTCAGAAATGACTACAGATGAAGAGCCTTTGATCAAAGGATGTTTTCCTTTGCATAAATAAATTTATGTCAAGACCAAAGATCTTTAACAAGCCGACTATATTTTTTACGGGAAGGGTGCACCCAGGAGAAACACCAGCCTCTCATGCTCTTAAAGGAGTTTTAGATCTACTCACAGATTTCGAGCATCCGATGTGTAAAGCCTTGCTTAAGGAATTTGTGTTCAAAATAATCCCTGTGTTAAACCCAGATGGAGTTTATCGAGGCCATTATCGTCTCGATACTAAAGGGCAAAATCTAAATAGATATTATACATCTCCAACGTTGGGAGTGCAACCTACTATTTTTGCTGCAAAAGCTGCGATAGCCCAACAGAAAGACCTTGATAAGCTTAAGGTTTATATAGATTTTCATGCCCACGCAGGGAAAAAGGGATGCTTCATGTTTGGAAACCACCTCTATGGTCAGAATCAGGTGAATAACTGACTTCTGGCCAAACTAGTCTCCCTCAATAGTATCAACTTTGATTTCCAAGAGTGCAGATTCTCAGAAGAAATGATGAATGTTGTAGACAAGAGAGATGGTCTCAGCCGTGAAGGCTGAGGAAGAGTCTCTATCTGGAAAACAACAGAAATCGACCATTGCTACACTCTTGAGTGCCATTACTCGTGCGGGGTCAGAACAAAGAAGCTAACCCCAATGGTTTGTTCAGAAACAGGTGAAATTCTTCCAGAAAGGGAAGTAAATGATATCAGTAGCGATATGTATAAAGGAGATAAGCCTCCTGTATTCACAATCGGTAAGCGTCTACTTTTATGCTTAGAAATCCTAGAAGATGTTGGCAAAGCAGTCTTAGCAGGACTGCTGGATCTGATCAGCAAAAACCCTGTTTCAAGACTTCCCAGCTCAAAATATAAAGATGTATCAGGTGTTAGAAAAGAAATCGAGAAACATGTAGATGAAGTCTGGGGACTTGATGAGAAACCAGAGAACAAGCCTCAAAGAAGACCAATTAACTCACTTCCTAGAGTAGCATTAATAGGCCCAAAGAAAAAGACCAAAACTCATGAAGAAAAAGTCCGTGAAAAATTAGAGAAATAAAGAAAAGGATAGGAAAAGGATTCAAAGGCTCAGAGAAAGTTACCTCAAAGATCTCAAAGAGAAAGAGAAGAAGACCTCTACTTCTGTTTCCAAAGAGTCTGAGGAGACCAAGAGTCCCACATGTAATTTCCTTAATTAACAAAACAGCAAATACCAAATCAAGAAGCAACTGCGAGAGAGATTTCAATAGAGAGGCTTCTGAAGAGATGTCTTCGTACAAGACTGACCTGAGTTTATTCACAGAATCTAAAATAGATCTTATAAAACATCATTCAAATCAAGACTCGTATATCCCATCTTTAGACAGAATGAATATTTACAAAGCAAAATCTAATAATCCAGTTATAAATTATCAGAACAATAATAGAAGTATTCTAGATCGAAGAGTGAGTAGACTGAATCCTTCAAATAGGCTAAATGTAGCAGAATCTCCTTCTAAGATCAACCTCTCCTTCAACACCTCATGACTACATCCATCAGGTATATTCCCTCAAAACTTGGGAGGGAGGGATGAATGATTTCAGTTTTTCCTCGACCCCAGGATGCATCAAAGAGGAACTTTCATAGCAAAAGTTCCACCAAAGACTTTCTTTAACAAGCGGAACAAAGTCGTAAACAAGCTAAATTCAAGACAAAGGAAGGGTAAGACCAAGCCTAGGCAGAAATCCAGTATTATCACCTCAAAAATTGCCAAATCTGTTCCTAAAAGTCGAGAAAAGTCCTATACGTGCAAGCAAAGTTATCTATAAATCTCAGTTCAACTCCTGATTTAACAACTGGGGTTTTGGGGTTTTGGGGTTTTGGGG